CGAGGGAAGGCCGCGCCCCAGGCGGAGCCGGGAAGGCCGTGCCCGTTAGGCCACGCCCGTTTACAGACTACGCCCACCGCTGCGCGAGCTACCGGGACCCCGGGGTCTCGGCGGGCCCGTGGGAGCTCCGCCCCTGCACTCACAGGGGTCACCCCCCCACCCCCCACACCAGGCCCCGCCCCTCTCACCATGGCAGCCGGGGGGCTCTAGCGGCGCGCGGGGGGGGGCATCGCGGGGGGCCTGAGGGGGACACGGGTTAGGGGGACACGGGGCGGGACAGCGGGGGGACAGCGGGGGAGGGGGCGAACGGGACTTGGGGAAGGGGCTGGGCGGGAAACAAAAGGGGCTGGAGGTGGGGATAACGATGGGCGCCGGGAGCTCCATGGGCCCGGGGGGGCTCCGTGGGCCGAGGAGGGCACGGGGGGCTCCTGGGGGACTCCTGGAGGGTTTCGGGAGGTGTCTGGGAGGTCCCACAAGGGGTCGGGAGGGCTCGGGGGGTCCCGGGCGGGGCCCGGAGCCACCTCGCTCACCTGCAGCCCCGCGCGACGCTGGCGCCGGGCGCGCCGTGATGACGTCACGGGGGCGGGGCCAAGAGGGTCCCGGTTCAGCCGCAGCTGGGGCGGGGCACAGCGATTGTGGGCGGGGCTTAACGGGGCGGGGCCCCAATGATTGGCGCGGTGAAATGACGGGCGGGGCCCGGCGGCTGCCGAGCGGGCGCCGCGCTGGCTGTGCTCAGGGGAGCCGCCATCTTGGGACACGCTACACGGTGTCCACAGCAGGGAGCAGCTGTTAATAAGGATTTTTGTGCGTTCCCCCCAAAAGACCACCCCCACCCCACAGGGGGAGCACAATCTCCCCCCACTGCCGCCCCCTCATCCCAGCGCACCCCCAAAGAACAAGGCCTGAGCCAGGCTCCGTTTTGATAGCGAACTGTACTGGAATGGCCCCGTTAGAGCTGTGGGCTGAGCCCGGGGGGGGCCGCAGCAGGGGCAGGGGGGGCCGCGTAGGCGCTGCCGGGGCCCCCCAGGAAGGGTCCGGCGGGGGGAAAGGGCAAGAGGTGCCCGGACAGGACGAGCGGCCCGAGGGCGAAGAGCGCGGCTGGGTCCTCAGGGGGCGGCTGGGGGGGTGCAGGGGGGGGCAGGGGGGGCCCCATGGAGGTTTCGGGGACTCCCCCAGGGCCAGCGCCCCCCGCCTGGCGCCGCTTCTTGCCCTTGGCCGAGACCTTCCGGTTGCGGGTCTGGATCCCGTCCTTGCGCATCGTCAGCGGCCGGTTCACCTGGGGGGGCAGAAGCAGGGCTGTGGCGGGGTTCCAAAAGCCCGGGGGAGAGCTCTGGACCCCCCCCACGGATCCCACCCCCCCACCTTCAGTGATGGAGCCCTGCGGGACCCTCAGGAATTCCCTCCCAGGCCCCCTTACCCTCACTGAGCTGAGAATGTGGGAGGATTTGGGGGTTTTGGATGTCGTAGGGTGGTGCTGGGGTGATTCTGGGGCGCTGCACCCTCACGCGGTGCAGTTTGTAGTAGAGCGCACAGCTGTCGCACACGAGGTCTGGGGCGGTTTAAGGATATTTTGGGGTGTTTTAGGGACGTTTTGGGTCTCTCACCCGGTGCAGTTTGTAGTAGAGCCCGCAGGCATTGCAGACGGGGTCCCCGCGGGGGCTGCGGCGCCACAGGGTCGTGGTGCTGGTCTGGCAGTTGCTGCACACCGTGCCCGCACGTTTGCTCACCAGCTGCGGAAAACGGGTCAGGGGAAAATTTGGGGTTGGGAGCGGGGAATAGAGGAGGTCTGGGGGGGCTAAAATGGGATTGGGGCGAGAAGGGTTTGGGCTTAATTTGGGGGTTTAAGAAGGGGTTTGGGGGGGACAAAAAGGGTATTTGGGAGTGCAAGAAGGGGCTTGGGGAATTTTGGGGTGTCTGGGGTTGACCGGATGGGGGTTTGGGAGGGACTGGGGGTGACTAAAGGGGGATTTGGGGGCATAAAGATGGATTTGGGGGGACTAGAGGTGGATTTGGGGGTGACTAGAAGGAGTTTTGGAGTGTAAGGAGTGGTTTAAGAGGGATTTGGAGAGGTTTTGGGGGCAGAAGAAGGGGTTTGGAGGGAGTAAAGGATTTAGGTTGTGAGGAAGGGTTTAGGGGGATTTGGGGAGCGCTGGGGGAACTAGAGAGAGTTTGGGGGTCAGGAGGGGAATTTGGAGGAGATTAAAGGGAATTTTGGGGGTGTAAGGAGGTGTCTGGGAATTTGAGGAGGTTTGGGGAGGATTTTGGGAGTGTAGCTGGGGGAGAATAAAGGAGGATTTAGGGTGTGTGGAGGGCGTTGGGGGAATTTGGGGGTCCTTGGGGTGGATTTAGGGGTCCCTGGGGATGATTTTGGGCTCACCAGGCCTTTCTTGGGGCAGATGAGGGGCTGGTTGTGCTCACTCAGCCCGTAGTTTGGGGTGATTTTGGGATTATTTTGGGGTGGGAGTTTCTGAGGCCCCAGGTGAGGATTTTGGGGTGATTTGAGGGTGGTTTTGGGGCTCACCAGGCGCTTCTTGGGGCGGATGAGGGGCCGGTTGTGCCCGTTGAGCCGGTGGTACAGCCCGCAGGCGTTGCACAGGTAGTGCCCGGTGCCGTCTCGGCGCCACAGGGGCGTCGCTGTGGCCCCGCAGTTCACGCACTCCCGTGCCTCTGCCCAGTACAGACCAGTAACCAGTACAAACCAGTACTGCCCAAGAGAAACCTCCACTGACCCACACAGGGCAATGCCCATCCCAGTGCACCCCACAATGTCCACCCCCAGTTGGGACGTTCTGGCCAGCACCAACCGGTACGAATCAGTCTGCACCAGTATAAACCGGTCTGCACCAGTACAGACCAGTACAGCCTAGTACAAACCCCTCGAGACCACTGTAGGGCAGCAACCAGCCAGTACCCCCCAAAGTTCCAGCTTTCTGTCCAACATCAACCAGTGCAAACCAGTTTAGACCAGTGCAGACCAGTACAAACCAATACAGACCAGTATAAGCCCACATGGACTACCAGAGCACACCCCCCAGCATCCACCCCCAATTCCCACACTCTGCCCAGTATCAACCAGTCTGAAGTAATACAAACCAGTACAAACCACTACAAGGCAATACCCACACCAGCATCTACCCCCAGCCACTATAAACCAGTCTGAACCAGTAAAAACCAGTACAAGCCACTGCACACCAGTACAAACTTGTACTACCAGTACACGCCAATAAAAACCAGTACGGACCAGCAAAACAACTGGGCAGACCAGCGGGCCCCTCCCTGTGCGCCCCCAATTCACACACTGCCCAGTATCAACCAGTATAAACCAGTATGGACCGCTATGGAACGGCAAGCACCAGTATACAGCCGTATGGACCAGTAGGAACGAGTACAGACCACTATGGAACAGCAGGAACCAGTATGAACCAGTATCAGGCAGGAGAAAGCACGGGGCAGCCCAGCACACATCCCAGAGCACTCCCGCAGCTCTGACCAGTACAGGCCAGTACCAACCAGTATAAACCAACAACAGCAACCTCCGCAACACAACACCCACCAGTATGGACCAGTAGAAGCCAGTATAACTCCACAAGCCAACACAAACCAATCTGTGCCCTAGAACACACCAGTCCAGGCCCCAGTATAGACCAGTACAAACTCCAGTAAGCTTTCCAGTGCACCCCAGCATGAACCAGTGCACCCCAGTAATCTCCACCAGTCCCTCCCAGTGCCCCCCAGTCCTTCACAGTGCCCCCCATCCCAGTCCCTCCCCAGTCACCCCCCCAGTCCATCCCAGTCCCTCCCCAGTTTCTCCCAGTTCCCCCCCAGTCCCTCCCAGTCCATCCCAGAGCCTCCCAGCGCTCCCAGTCTCACCGCAGGGCGGGGGCACAGGCGGCAGGAGGGGTCCCGTGGGGGGGGGGCTCCGGGGGGGCTGCAGCAGCTCCAGGAACTGGGGGGGCTCCGAGTGGGGAGGGGTCCAGGAGGGGCCCCCCAGGGACCCCCCCTCAGCCCAGGGCACCAGGGACAGGCGGCCTGGGGGACACGGGAACAGCCGTGAGGTGGGGGGTGACACGGGGACAGGGGAGGGCTCGGGGACAGGGGGCACAGGGGGACATGAGGGACATTAGAGACAAAGGGGGATCTGGGCAGTGGGGGCTTGGGGATATTGGGGACAAGGGGGACGTGAGGGGACGCTGGTGAGAGGGTGAGGGGGACACGGGGGGCACGAAGGGACAGCTGTCAAGGGCCATGGGGACCTTAGGGACATGGGAACATCGGGGACCAGGAGGATGAGGAACAGAGGGGGGGTATGGGGGGGGGGGCACAGCAGAGGGGGCATGAGGGATTTGGGGAGACAAAGGGGGTCCTGGGGGGTGGCTGGGACAGAGGGGACACGGGGGACAGACAGAGGGGACACGAGGGCACACCGGGGTACCTGGGGGGGGGTACGGGGCCAGCAGCCCCCCTGGCTCCAGCCCATCAGGGCCCCCCAGCCCCAGGAATGCTCCGGCCTCGTCGGGGAACGGCGGGGGGGCCCCC